CATGCTTCAAAGTCTAAGAAACTAATGGGCAAAATTCTTGGTAGATTTCTTACCTGTTAGCCTTTGTATAAGGGCGTTGGCTCTTCCAGCTTTCAATATTTAACTTTACCACTCAGTCAGTGTTGAAACAGTTGTGAAAGAGGCCTGCCAGTTCAGCCATTAGGGAGAACAGGCCTGCCACATGCATCACGCATACCAAGCATTCCCTAGTTAACACTTCCTTTTTTTTTTTTTTTTTTTTTTTTTTTTTTTGAGACGGAGTCTCGCACTGTCCTCGAGGCTGGAATGCAGTGATGCCATCTTGGCTCACTGAAAGCTGTGCTTCCCAGGTTCATGCCATTTTCCTGCCTCAGCCTCCTGAGTAACTGGGACTATGGAAGCCCACCACCATGCCCAGCTAATTTTTTGTATTTTTAGTAGAGACAGGGTTTCACCGTGTTAGCCAGGATGATCTCGATCTCCTGACCTTGTTATCTGCCCTCCTTGGCCTCCCAAAGTGCTGGGATTACAGGCGTGAGCCACTATGCCCAGCCAACACTTTCAAAACATCAACTGGGATGTCGCTTTCTTCGAATGAACCATCTCTCCCCCAAAGACTGGGTCAAATCCCCTTATAAATATACATGCATATATATTTCTATGCATAAGTGCATACATATACATGTATCTGTATCCTTCACTGCACTTTGAAGAGTTGCAAATTCACATTTATTTGTGAAATTATTGAATTAATCACTAACATAGGGACCCATCTAGTTTTAATGTTCCGTATATTCCTAGCAAATATTACAGTGCCTGCCTCAGAGTGGGAGTGTAATAAATATTTGTTAGATTTTTAAAAATGCAGATTTTTGTAAAAATGGAGAAGACCATCATTTTCAACATTGAACTTTTGGGTACAATAGAAAATGTAGAGTCCAAGATCCAGAATAAAGAAGAAATTCCTCCTGACCAGCAAAGACTGATCTTTGCTATCAAGTAACTGAAAAATGGACATACTATGTCTGACTAAAACTTTCAAGAGAAAGAAGGTTAAGCTGGCTGTCCTGAAATACTCCAAGTTGCATGACAATGGCCAAAATTGGTTGCCTTCATGGGAAGTGCCTTTTAGATGAATGTGATGCAGGATTTTTATGGTCAACCACTCTGACAGGCATTATTTTGGTAAATGATGTCTTATTGCTTCAACAAACCAAATGAGTAATTGTGTATGAGTTAATAAAATACATAAGTTAAGAAAATAAAAGTCATAGGTTGAATAGAGATTGTTCAGCCAATTGACATAAGGGAGAGCACTGACAAAGAGAAGCTGCTCACCATTACTGGTAGTTGTGTTTGGAACTAGTAGAAAAGCCTCCCCATTTCCTCCAGGACTCAGGGAAGGTGATGGAAGGACTTTGGTGTCTAAGTCCCTTCTCACTTCTTTGGCATCACTTGCTTCCCTCCCAACCTTGCACCTTATAATTTGCTAACTCCAAACCAACAGGAGTTCTCCTTCCACACCCTACATTCACACACATTATGTTCACATGTGCAGGTACACACACACACACACACACACACACACACACACACACACGCACGCTGATATCTCCCAACTTTCTGAGAAATGCTGAGGCAGGAATCTAAATTCTGATCCCTTTCCAGGGGTCACCTTGAGCAGCTGCTTCTTCAAGAGCCCCACCCAAACCAAAATGCCTCAGATGCGGGGCTCTGGGCAGTCTGTGTGTACTGTTGTTATGTAAAATCCCTTCACTGAACACATTTGTCTACTTGCCCCTCTATCCCAAAGTTCTACTGGTACATCAAAATCAAGGGCTATGTCTTTTCTTAGGATTCCCAAGGTGGCCTCTAATGTAAAAAAATCACTTATTTGAATCAAATTTCCCAAAGAATAGAAAGTTTCAAGAAAAGAGCAATCCACAGAAATTAAGTTCCAGTTTCTCATTCACTTCTCCTGTCCAAAAAGTACTGTTTTTCAATGGACTTTTCTTTGCCTTTTGTCTTCGAACTGCCTCCAATGACTCCAGCAGAATGAGAGAAGAACTGTCCAGGCTGCAGAGAGTAGTGGTAGCAACTGGATCTTGCCTCATAAAGTGGGGACAGCGTAGGCAGAGGGGGAATACATCTCGCTGGAAATGCCAATGCTGCATGGGCAAGGAACTGCAGAGAGAGTTTCCTCTGTTGAAAGCATGAAGTCAGAAAACTGGGAACTGGTACCCTCCAGAAAAGGGAGAGCTGACAGGTAGGAGAGAGGGTGTGTGAGGTGGTGCCAGGCTAGTGGACACTGCATATAAAGAGTGTCAGAATATATATTTTTTGTTGTTAATGAGTCCTGGTTTTGGGTGACTCCAGATGGAAAGTGTCTATTGGCAGGTGTTTTGCCTCTATGCATGGGGCACAAGGGTGGTGACAGTTGCTTCTTTCACTTGTTTCATTCCCATGGGGGTGTGCTTATACTTCCCAGATTAGGCTGTTGGTGAGGTTTGGGTTTGTGGAATTGCCTCAACTTTTTGACATGGTTTTATAATGCCTGCAAAGATAAGGCTGTGTGCATTCTTACTATTACTCTCCAGTGGACCACTAAAATACAAACATGTATTTGTATGTCAATCACTTGCTCTTGAGTCTGCTTCTAAGATTTTTTTCTTGCCCACTCTGGAAGTAAATGCCTTGTTTGTGATCACCAAAGTAAAGTGCTTAGATAACGTGCTAAGGGCCATTATTTTCTCCATTTATTTAAGGGCCATTATTTTCTCCATTTATTTAATGTTTCTCTAAAAAATTAAAAAAAAAAATTATTCAGGACAGTGACTCATTCTGTAATCCAGAATTTTGGGAGGCTGAGACAAGAGGATTGCCTGAGCCCAGGAGTTCAAAACCAAACTGGGCAACAGAATGAAACCCTGTTGCTATAAGACATTTAAATATTAGCTGCACATGGTGGCACATGCCTGTAGCTCAAGCTACTTGAGAGGCTGAGGCAGGAGAATCACTTGAGTCCAGGAAGTCAAGGCTAATGTGAGCCTCGATCACACCACTGAACTCAAGCGTAAAATATAAGATCTTGCCTCAAAAACAAAAATAAAATAAAACCCAATCACTTATATAACTTGCTAAGGCCATCTTCCCCATTTATTTGATGTATTAAAAAAATTTTTAAAAACATATTAAGTATATTGGCTCACATCTGTAATCCGCACTTCAAGAGATTAAGGCAAGATGATCCCTTGTGCCCAGGAGTTCAAAACCAACCTGGACAACAGAATAAGACACTTTCTGCATAAAAAAATTAAAAATTAGCTGGGCACAGTGGCACATGCCTGTAGTTCCAGCTACTTGAAAGGCTGAGGCAGAAGGAACGCTTGAGTTCAGGAGGTAGAGGAGTTCAGGAGTTCGAGGTTATTGTGATCTATGACTATAACACTGCACTCCAGCATGAGTGACAGAGTGACTTGTCTCATAAAACAAAACAAAACCACGTAAACTGCTAATGGCTATTATTTCCCCCATTTATTTGATAAAGAGAATCACTTAAAATAAAATAGTAATAAAAAATGAAAAAAAAAAAAAAAAAGAAAATTATTACAGAGCCCTCCATTTCCAGACCAAAGAGATGGAAAAGAATGAAGAAACGGAAAAAATTAGGCCAGACACAGTGGCCCATGCCAACAAATTCAGTGTTTTGGGAGGTTCGGGTGGGAGTACCAATTGAGGCCAGATGTTTTACTTTTATTTTAATTTCGCATACCAGCCTGGGTGATAAATCAAGATTCTATTCCAAAATTAAAATAAAATAAGTAAAAATAAAAATAGTCTGTTTTTGATGAGGTGAAGAACCATAGAAATACTAAAGTACAATCTACTGAAGTACAATCTATGAAGAAACACTGGCATGCTAAATAAAATTTGAACAATGTGAAGAGGAAGAACTAAGGGAGTGAGAACATCTTTGATAATGTTTTTCAGAGTTGCTGGTAAAACCCTTAACGCAAAACTTTGCTTGGAAAGATGAAGTGAGGTTGCACAGGAAGAATGTGGGAATGATCATGGAAACTTTCTGACATGGTAAGATACAGAGCACGAACATGGCATGACAGAAGAGAAATGACAAACGGCAGATTCCTGGAAAAGATGATTTACTGAGCAGAAAAGAGTAAAATTTTTGCCATACCAAAAAAAAAAAAAAAAATAGAATTTCTTTTGAGGTGAGAAATTCCTTCCTAACTGTGTGCAATGTCATGTCATAAAATAGAGAACTGATGGGGAGGAAAGTGCTAGATAACAAAAGAATTCATAAGAAAACCTCAGTCTGGACCCAGTCTGGACTTCACTTTGGGTGATGGTTTTCATTAGAATAATCAAGAGCACATGCTAATTACTAAAAAGGATTCTTTGATATTTATGCAAATTAATAATTAATAAAATTTGATTATGTCACTTGGGAGTTGGAAAAATGAATTGATTCGGTATGATGAACATTTCACCTACAGAGTTGAGGAGTTGTGTCCTGAATGCCGAAGAAGATGTTTTCAGAGAAAGGTGACTACTATGACAAAGAACCAAAAACCAAACACATGAATAAGTGGAGGAAAGGGAGAGGAGGCAAAAGAGGCTGGGATAGTGTGGGGAATGAGGATCAAAGACTAAGCATGCTGGAGGGACAAGCTCTGTATTTGAAACTTTTTTTTGTGATCCATATACCTGGGTGACCTTTCCCTGTTCTGTGTTCACACTTCTGGGTATACTAAGTGATAACCACAATGCAATTGCCATAGTACTTGATCTTAGGCAACCTCCCTCTTCATACACTGTGCTTTGTAACATTTAATACAACAATAACTAAACAACCACATGAGTACTTCTCTATTTCTCTCTAAACACTGAGGTAAGTCCATGGGAGTAGGGAGACTGTTGGTCACATTCATCACTATGTCCTTACCACCACCTATATAGCCATATTATAAACCTATATGATAAAAAAAGTTTGAATTTTTGGACATTGCTCAGCAATTTAATAATTTCTCTACATGACGAAAACTTAAAAATAGAATATATAAGAAAAAGAAACATCTCAACTTCATATGACAACATTACAGCCTGCAAAGTAAAAATACATTCTTCCAATATAATGTAGTACATAAAATAGTAACAAAAATTGACCACTTACTAGTTCATAAAGCAGGTTTTCAATAAATTTCATCACGTTAGTGTATATAGACACATTTTTCCCATACGCATTGTTAGAAATCAAGAATGCAGAGATCACTAGCAAAATCCCATACAGAAATTTTAAAACACACGTTTTAGATCTCAAGGGTTTCCACTACAAATAGGGTGCAGTGTACACCGCTCAGGTGATGGGCGCTCCAAAATCTCATAAATCACCACTAAAGAACATGTAACCAAACACCATCTGTTCTCCAATAACCTAAGAATGTAATAAATAAATAAATAAATAAATAAACAAATAAATAAAATAAAAAACCCAGGGTCAAAAAATAAATTGTAATGGAAACTGAACATACATGAAAACAATAGTTAAAAAGCAAGAGGATACCAATAGGGCAGTACCTAGTGGAAAACTTAAAGCCTTAAATATAGAGATTAGAAGTGAAAATAGGATAGAAATCAATATACTGCATATTCACCACAGGAAGCTAGGCTGTCTTTAAGCCTCCATAAAGTAGAGAATTAAACCCTCCATAAATTACTTCATACTTTATTCTTAGTACTGTAAATACTAATGTACTAAGACTGAAAAACCTCTTGCAAGTCTGTTTGAAGAAAAAGAAACAAACACACACTACTGGAAGTTGTAAAACCCATAAATATAAGTACTAAAGAGATAAAAATGATAGCCTTGACAGCTCTACACCAACAAACTGGAAAACTTAAACGTTCAAAATCCTAGAAAAATATAACTGACTCAAGAAGACACTGACAAACTAAAAAATAAAGAAAAAAAAAAAAAACACAAAAACTGAATCAGTAGTTTAAAAATCTTTCCACCAAAGAAAAATCTAGACCCAATTGGTTTCATATGTTAATTCTCACAGACAGCACATAATGCCAAACCAATGTAACTCCTCCAAGGAGCAAAACATAAGAAACTTACCCCAGTTAATTTTCTGAGACTAGTTGACTTGCATAAGCAAATCATACAAGGAAAGACATTTTTATTAAATATAGGAGCATATATCTTAAACAAAATATGAATAAAACAATGCATAAAGAATAATTAAATAACAATTCAATCACATAATGAACAGATTGGACATACAAAAATACAAATTAGAAATACAAAACTGGATTAACATTAAAAAACACCAACTCATTAATCACAGAAAAACCTATAATGATCATTTTAGCAGATGAAGAAAAAGCATTTGATAAAATCACTATTATATTCCTGAATTTTTTTTACAAATTCTGAGCAAATTAGGAATAGAAAGTAACTCCCTTCTCCTGATAAATATCTACTTTAAGAAACTTAATTGAAACATCTTATATAATTGTGAAAAGGAAAAAGTTTTCCTGTTTAACAATAAGTAAGTAGGATTGTATTATGTGATTAATACATTAGAAATGCTTGTTCCCCAGTGCCATAAAGAAATAGTACCTGAACACTAATTTAATTTCCTCTGTAAGGCCATTTTTACTCCTGCAGAAGGGGTACACGCATCAGCCGTTTTGCCACTGGAGGAAACCAAACAAAGGAGACAGGGTCATTTATAACCCAAAGCGTTCACCCTACTGCCGTGTCTGGTTTCCACTGGTTGGAATAGAACCTCACATTCTGTATTTGTCTGGATTGGCTAGTAACTTAGAACTTTTTAAAAGAGGCAAAAGGCAGAGGACAACAAAGGAAGCAGGAATTAACTTGTGGAATGTTGAGAAAGGTAAAAACACCTCCAAATAAGGAAAAGGAACAGGCTATACTCTAATGCCCATTTGGACCAGCATAAGCATGAGAGGTCAAATATTTAGACTAAATTGTGGAAGCGAAGAACATAAAGAACATTGTTCTTTATTATGGTTAGTAGATATTTAAGAATGTTAGCACAGGTCTTTGAATAAATTTTGCCTCTAAGAGAAGTTATGATTAATTCATAATTAGATGGAGAGGGAACTCTCTTTGAGGAGGAACATCTAGTTTATTTTTACAATTAATATAATATTAAATAATAACATTGAGCTTCATATTGGGGAGAAGTCTAGCTCAATAAAATAAACAAACAATAAAGTGTTTAAATATTACAAAGAAAAAAGCTGTTATCTTTGGCTGCTTATTCATTGCTTATCTAAAAAAACCCTCAAACCTAAAGGAATATTTAGAAACATTATTAGAATTACTGAGGATTTTTGAAAACATTAATACTTTTTATCTACAATACTGGTAAAAAACAGAATATATATTTTCAGAAGATAGCATTCATGAAAGGCATAAAAATATAAAAAGTTAGTGCTGAATAGAATAAAACTGGTTTGAAAACATTTTATTGAAAAATTATAGAAATACTGAAAGATAATAAAGTAAACATAAATGAAGAGTTATAGCATAATCTTGAATAGGAAGGCACAATATTTTCAACAAGTCATTACTCAATCTAGATAATTTTATGCAGTTTCAGTCAAATGCCAACAAGATTTTAGGAAAAATTCGTTCTAAAATGTATATGAAAGAAGAAAGAGCCGTAAATAACCAAGACTCTTCTGAAAAAAAGAAGACTGAAAAACTAATTCTATTTAGAATTAATATAAAGTTTTGGGGTTAAATCCATGTAGAATTAGGAATGGCACAGATACATGAGACAATTTAAAAGATAAAGAGCCATTTGGGGCAGGAACAGACACATTGACCAATGAAAAGAGTCGAGATCCGAGAAACAGACTTAAGTCCCTTGAATTTTCATGTATAACAGAAAGAGATTTTTGGATGTGTGGAAAAATATGAAATAAATGGCGCTAGGACAGTGGCTATTTATACACAGAGAAAAAAGGAGAACTGAAACTACACCTCATACTCTACACAAAATTCAAATCCAGAAGGTTGAAAAATTTAAATGCCAAAGTCAAAGCTATAACACTTCACAAAACAATTAAGGAGACAATCTCATGTTGCACGGACAGGAAAGCATTTCTTAAACTGACAAAATAATAATCAAAAGCTATAATTGAAAAGAGACACAAACTTGACTACATTCAACAAATTTCAGTTTGTAAAAAAATGTCATAAAGAGAAAAAAAACAAGTTATAAATAAAATATATTTGCAACATGTAACTCACCATGACTCAGTCTCTAGAATAAATTAAAAACTCTTACAAATGTATACAAAAAGAAAAAAAAAAGTGAAAATACCTGAAGACTTTGTAAAAGAGGTTAAAAAAAGTCATATGGAAAGATGTTCAATCTCATTAAGCATCAGAAAATGAGATACAGATATCGTTTTGTACTTATCAGATTGGCAGAACTTAAAAATCTAGAAATATTAGCTGAGGTTCCCAAACCAGCTATAAATGTAAGCGTAGGGGCAAATTGCATATAGTGGGTTTTCAATAGGAAATGCTGACAATGTACTGGGAGACTCTAAAACTTGCTTCAAGACTGGCAAATATTTTCACTTACTTTGAGAATATAACAACTAGATCAAATCTAATGCTGGTGAAGAGTTTTCTTTGGAAAAATCAGGGGAAAACAGGTTATTATTACTGGTCCCTTGCCTAATAGGCGAGCTTCAAAGAGATCCTGACAATGCTTTGAAATGATCCTTGCAGTTGGAAGATATGGAGAAGGGGTGTCTGACCCATTTCTGGGAAAGTTAAATTGGATTGTGGACTACGTTCTCACTCAGCTGGGGTGTCTAGTGTACAGAAGAGAGGCAGCATCAGGAGGGGCTGCAGTAATGGGATCAATCCACATTTCCTAAATTAGATGGACCCCACATTTCCTAAATTAGAGGAGGCTGGCATGGAATTCCTTGGTGGTACTGGACTTTCTGAGAATAAGACAGAACTATAGGCACCCAGCAGAATATAGATACTCTTCCTCATCTCCTGTGAAGGAGTTCACCTGAAAATCTCCAAGGAGCCCTGGAAAGCACCAAGAAAAAGGAGGCAACCTCTGCCCTCTGCAGGCTACCTGAGGCACCTGTCTAAACATATTCAGGTAGGGAAGAAAAAAGATCAAATGTCGTCAGTTTTGAAGTTTTGACTATTAAGAGGGACTGACTATTCCAATTTCTGAGATGAAAATGTTTTATGACCAAAAATGGCTGGAAGATATTTTATTCTTTTGAGTGTGATGATCTCTCCAGGTGTTTGAAAACGGTGGCCGGAGAGGATAATAAAGTTGTATGCTTGGTCAACATTCTGACTCTATATTGTTTCACAGAGGGTAAAACTATAAAGAAAAACCAGAGAATAATACCACAAAAATTGGGGAGATCATTTATGGTGCGCAGTAGAGTGAGCAGGATAGAATTCAGGAGGCGGCACACTGGGGCTGCGGATGTGCTGACAACATTCTGCCACCCAAGGTGTTGGGTGCAGTGGTCAATGTATTGTAAGCTCTGATTCCCTGATCATTTTTGCAAGTATTCAATAGTTAGTATAAAACAACACTCAAGCTCTCGCGGTTCCAGTGGGGAGAGGAGGAAGCAGGGAGCGGGGAGGCGGGGTGGGGGGGACCCGCCGCGGCTGCTGCCACCGCCTCTGCTCGTGGCGTGGGAAAGGAGGTGTGAGTCCTGGGCGCGAGCCGGCGGCGGCGCCCCTGCGGGAGGGTAGGCAGTGGGAAGGCGATGGAGGATTTAGACAAACTCAACATCGACAGCATCATCCAACCGCTGCTGGAAGTGAAAGGGTCCAAGCCTGGTAAATTCGTCCAGCTTCAGGAGAATGAAGTCAGAGGACTGTGTTTAAAATCTCGTGAAATCTTTCTCAATCAGCCTATCCTACTAGAACTTGAGGCACCACTCAAAATATGTGGTGACATCCATGGCCAATACTACGATTTGCTGCGACTTTTTGAGTAAGGTGGTTTCCCGCCAGAAAGCAACTACCTGTTTCTTGGGGACTATGTGGACAGGGGAAAGCAGTCATTGGAGACGATCTGCCTCTTACTGGCCTACAAAATCAAATATCCTGAGAATTCTTTTCTTCTCAGAGGGAACCATGAATGTGCCAACATCAACAGAATTTATGGATTTCATGATGAATGTAAAAGAAGATACAACATTAAACTATGGAAAACTTTCACAGACTGTTTTAACTGTTTACCGATAGCAGCCATCGTGGATGAGAAGATATTCTGCTGTCATGGAGGTTTATCACCAGATCTTCAATCTATGGAGCAGATCCGGCGAATTATGCGACCAACTGATGTACCAGATCAAGGTCTTCTTTGTGATCTTTTGTGGTCTGACCCCAATAAAGATGTCTTAGGCTGGGGTGAAAATGACAGAGGAGTGTACTTCATATTTGGTGCAGAAGTGGTTGCAAAATGTCTCCATAAGCATGATTTGGATCTTACATGTAGAGCCCATCAGGTGGTTGAAGATGGATATGAATTTTTTGCAAAGAGGTAGTTGGTCACTCTGTTTTCGGTGCCCAATTATTGTGGAGAGTTTGACAGTGTAGGTGCCATGATGAGTGTGGATGAAACACTAATGTGTTCTTTTCAGATTTTAAAGCCTGCAGAGAAAAAGAAGCCAAATACCACGAGACCTGTAACGCCTCCAAGAGGTATGATCACAAAGAAAGCAAAGAAATAGATGTCATTTTGACACTGCCTAGTTGGGACTTGTAACAGAGTATATAACCTTCATTTTTAAGACTGTAATGTGTACTGGTCAGCTTGCTCAGATAGATCTGTGTTTGTGGGGGCCCTTCCTTCCGTTTTTGATTTAGTGAATGGCATTTGCTGGTTATAACAGCGAATGAAAGACTCTTCACTCCAAAAAGAAAAATGTTTTGTTTTTTAATTCTCTCTTCCTTTTGCAAACAATTTTAATGATGGTGTTAAACCTGTACACCCCAGGACAGTTTATTCTGTCTAAGGAGTAAGTGTACAGTTGATCTTTTTAAATTCAGTACAACCCATAATCATGTAAATGCTCATTTTCTTTAGGACATAAAGAGAGCCCTAGGGTGCTCGAATCTGTACATGTTCTTGTCATAAAATGCATACTGTTGATACAAACCACTGTGAACATTTTTTATTTGATAATTTTGTTTCAAAGGGATTGCTTTTTCCTGTCATTGTCTTGTTATGTACAAATTAGTTTTTATAGCTATTAACATTAGGAGTAACTTTCAACCTTGCCAGCATCACTGGTATGATGTATATTTAATTAAAGCACACTTTTCCCCTACCGTATACTTAAAATGACGATTAAAGCCATTCTTTTAAATATTTGTGACTCTTTCCTAAAGCCAAAGTTGCTGTTGAATTACTTTTTGGCACACCCCTAAGTACAAGATGGTATGGTTGTGTACACATGCTGCCTTCTCGGAGATTCAAAAACAGGTTTTTGATTTTGAATAGCAATTAGTGATATAGGGCTGTTTAAGCTACTCATGATTAAAAGTAATAACATTTTGTACAATTTCCATATAGTCTATTCATTAAGTAATCTTTTTACAGTTGCATCAGGCCTGAATCTGTCCATTCAGAAAGCTTCAAATTATAGAAACAATACTGTTCTATACAAGTGACCGATTATGCTTTCTTTGGCCTATATTCTTTATTCTGTGGTGAAGTTGAGGCTTATAAGTTAAAACAAAGGAACTAACTTATTGTCCCACCAGTTTATACAGAACTCAGAGTATCTATGACTTTTTTTAAACTAAGATCTGTTAAAAAAGAAATCTGTTTCAGCAGATAACCATGTACAATACCATGTGGTGAAAATGAATTCAGATTTATTAAATGATGAACTTGTTAAAACACCCCCCCACCCCCCCCAACACACACACAATACTTAACGGGAAATCAAAAAAAGCTAAAAAATGGTGTATGTGCCTATTTGACCAAGAAATCCTTTTAATTTCCCCCCTCCATTCTCCCGTGTCTTGATCTAAAATATACTTTTTATGTCATTAGCTGTACCAGTTCCTGCTGCTTTTAGACTTTTGAAAAAGGAAAGGAAGGAATTTTTTTCTCTTCAGGCCATTTCTGCTCCAGGCAATGAGCACATACCTGCTGACTTTTCTTGAAAGGGGAACAGGGCTGTGGTTGGGGAAGACAGTATCTATGGGGAGGCTGAAAACTTCAGCAAAATTTCAAAAATATCCATAATTTTGATAGTGATGGCCTCCAGATGGGCAAATTAATGATGACTTTTTTTTTTTTATTTTATTTATTTATTTTTTTAATGATGTCATGTTGGTTCAATGCCTTTATTTTTCTTTTTTGAGACAGGGTCTTACTCCGTTGCCTAGGTTGGAATACAGTGGTGCAATCTCAGCTCACTGAAATGTCTACCTTCCAGCTCAAGTAGTCATCCCATCTCACCCTCCGGAGTAGCAGGGACTACAGTCACACACCACTACGAACCTTTAATTTTTGTATTTTTTTTTTTTTTTTTTTGGTAGAGATGGAACTTACCATATTGTTGAGGCTAGTTTTGAATACCCGGACTCAAGTGATCCACTTGCCCTGGCTTCCCAAACTGCTGGGATTACAGGTGTGAGACACTACTCCTGCCGGTTCCATGCTTTTTATAATAAAAATGAACTCCTTATGTAAAAATAAATAAATAAATAAATAAATAAATAGCATTTGTTTTGGATGTAGCAAATATAAATTCAGACTGTCCAGAGTCAAGAGCTATGCCACATATTTTTTTTTAATTTATTTATTATTATTATACTTTAAGTTGTAGGGTACATGTGCATAACGTGCAGGTTTGTTACATATGTATACTTGTGCCATGTTGCTGTGCTGCACCCATCAACTCGTCATTTACATCAGGTATAACTCCCAATGCAATCCCTCCCCCCTTCCCCCTCCCCATGAGAGGCCCCGGTGTGTGATGTTCCCCTTCCTGAGTCCGAGTGATCTCATTGTTCAGTTCCCACCTATGAGTGAGAACATGCGGTGTTTGGTTTTCTGTTCTTGTGATAGTTTGCTAAGAATGATGGATTCCAGCTGCATCCAAGTCCCTACAAAGGACTCAAACTCATCCTTTTTTATGGCTGCATAGTATTCCATGGTGTATATGTGCCACATTTTCTTAATCCAATCTGTCACTGATGGACATTTGGGTTGATTCCAAGTCTTTGCTATTGTGAATAGCACTGCAATAAACATACGTGTGCATGTGTCTTTATAGCAGCATAATTTATAATCCTTTAGGTATATACCCAGTAATGGGATGGCTGGGTCATATGGTACATCTAGTTCTAGATCCTTGAGGAATCGCCATACCGTTTTCCATAATGGTTGAACTAGTTTACAATCCCACCAACAGTGTAAAAGTGTTCCTATTTCTCCACATCCTCTCCAGCACCTGTTGTTTCCTGACTTTTTAATGATCGCCATTCTAACTGGTGTGAGATGGTAATTCATTGTGGTTTTGATTTGCATTTCTCTGATGGCCAGTGATGATGAGCATTTTTTCATGTGTCTGTTGGCTGTATGAATGTCTTCTTTTGAGAAATGTCTGTTCATATCCTTTGCCCACTTTTTGATGGGGTTGTTTGTCTTTTTCTTGTAAATTTGTTTGAGTTCTTTGTAGGTTCTGGATAGTAGCCCTTTGTCAGATGAGTAGATTGCAAAAATGTTCTCCCATTCTGTAGGTTGCCTGTTCACTCTGATGGTAGTTTCTTTTGATGTGCAGAAGCTCTTTAGTTTAATGAGATCCCATTTGTCAATTTTGGCTTTTGATGCCGTTGCTTTTGGTGTTTTAGACATGAAGCCTTTGCCCATGCCTATGTCCTGAATGGTATTACCTAGGTTTTCCTCTAGGATTTTTATGGTATTAGGTCTAACATTTAAGTCTCTAATCCATCTTGAATTAATTTTCGTATAAGGAGTAAGGAAAGGATCCAGTTTCAGCTTTCTACTTATGGCTAGCCAATTTTCCCAGCACCATTTATTAAATAGGGAATCCTTTCCCCATTTCTTGTTTTTCTCAGGTTTGTCAAAGATCAAATGGCTGTAGATGTGTGGTATTATTTCTGAGGACTCTGTTCTGTTCCATTGGTCTATATCTCTGTTTTGGTACCAGTACCATGCTGTTTTGGTTACTGTAGCCTTGTAGTATAGTTTGAAGTCAGGTAGCGTGATGCCTCCAGCTTTGTTCTTTTGACTTAGGATTGTCTTGGAGATGTGGGCTCTTTTTTGGTTCCATATGAACTTTAAAGCAGTATTTTCCAATTCAGTGAAGAAACTCATTGGTAGCTTGATGGGGATGGCATTGAATCTATAAATTTCCTTGGGCAGTATGGCCATTTTCACGATATTGATTCTTCCTATCCATGAGCATGGTATGTTCTTCCATTTGTTTGTGTCCTCTTTTATTTCACTGAGCAGTGGTTTGTAGTTCTCCTTGACGAGGTCCTTTACATCCCTTGTAAGTTGGATTCCTAGGTATTTGATTCTCCTTGAAGCAATTGTGAATGGAAGTTCAATCCTGATTTGGCTCTCTGTTTGTCTGTTACTGGTGTATAAGAATGCTTGTGATTTTTGCACATTAATTTTGTATCCTGAGACTTTGCTGAAGTTGCTTATCAGCTTAAGGAGATTTTGGGCTGAGACAATGGGGTTTTCTAAATATACAATCATGTCATCTGCAAACAGGGACAATTTGACTTCTTCTTTTCCTAACTGAATACCCTTGATTTCTTTCTCTTGCCTGATTGCCCTAGCCAGAACTTCCAACACTATGTTGAATAGGAGTGGTGAGAGAGGGCATCCCTGTCTTGTGCCAGTTTTCTAAGGGAGTTTTTCCAGTTTTTGCCCATTCAGTATGATATTGGCTGTGGGTTTGTCATAAATAGCTCTTAATATTTTGAGGTACGTTCCATCAATACCGAATTCACTGAGCGTTTTTAGCATGAAGGGCTGTTGAATTTTGTCAAAAGCCTTTTCTGCATCAATTGAGATAATCATGTGGTTCTTGTCTTTGATTCTGTTTATATGCTGGATTATGTTTATTGATTTGCGAATGTTGAACCAGCCTTGCATCCCAGGGATGAAGCCCACTTGATCATGCTGGATAAGCTTTTGGATGTGTTGCTGAATCCGGTTTGCCAGTATTTTATTGAGGATTTTTGCATCGATGTTCATCAGGGATATTGGTCTAAAATTCTCTTTTTTTGTTGTGTCTCTGCCAGGCTTTGGTATCAGGATGATGTTGGCCTCATAAAATGAGTTAGGGAGGATTCCCTCTTTTTCTATTGAGTGGAATAGTTTCAGAAGGAATGGTACCAACTCCTCCTTGTACCTCTGGTAGAATTCAGCTGTGAATCCATCTGGTCCTGGACTTTTTTGGTTGGTAGGCTATTAATTGTTGCCTCAATTTCAGAGCCTGCTATTGGTCTATTCAGGGATTCAACTTCTTCCTGGTTTAGTCTTGGAAGAGTGTAAGTGTCCAGGAAATTATCAATTTCTTCTAGATTTTCCAGTTTATTTGCGTAGAGGTGTTTATAGTATTCTCTGATGGTAGTTTGTATTTCTGTGGGGTCGG